ATATTACGAATAATTATTTTTTTTATAAATTCGATACAAACGTGGCTTGTAATAAATTTATGAAGGCTCTGTATACAGGGTGTATGTAAATAAGTGCGAAATATTTTAGGGGGTGGTTGCCGAAGTTATTTTGGGGAAAAAAGTTTATAATATAAGCCAATAATACAACTGCGCAGTAAACTTAAACAATTACAACAGCCTCATTGAAACACCTAAAACTAAAAGCTACGACAACTGACAGCACTAGATTTAACTCATTGCACTTTCAATTTACATGTAGTGAAAAATAAATTATAATCGTCCTATTTATAATAGTTACTGTTTTGTATTGAAATGTGATATTAATTAATATGTATATTATTTAATTAATAAAGTCACAAATAAGTTTCGAAAAAATGACAAATTATTTTGACATTTGTTTTATGTTCTAGAACGAAAAAGATTTTGATGTTCTAAAACATAAAAGTATTTTGCAGCTAGGTGACATCATTCAATAAAGTTGTGCTCGGCTTATTAGTCCAATCAGTTGGAAGTTTTGCCTGTGAAGTTTTAGGGGAGTTTTGAAAATTGGTATATTTATAGATCTTGACGTGCTCTTTCCGAATTTTTACTTTGCCACCTCTTTTTTTCCGGAAGTAGCCGCCAAAACAGTTTTTCGACGATATTTCCTTTCCGACTCACTTTATGGTGAAAATAGTTATGTAATAAATTAAAGTAGAGATCATTTCCTATAATTTATGTATCAACCTTTTTTCTGTGAAATAAATAGTTTCGGCGGACGAACGCCGCAAAGTCTACTCCAACACACGTATCGGCCAAAAAACTCATTTCCACACCACCATGAGGTAGAGTTCCTGGCGCGTTTTTTTTAGTGATATCCCCAGTAGGCCTAATCCACATGTGATGCACTGTTGACTAAATTTAGTGCATTCTCCTTTGCTTCGCTATCCCTGATGGACCAGGTTTTGCGAGTTCTTCGTCTTCAGAACTAAGCAAAACCTCACGGATAGGAAGTTCTTCCAACTTCTTCGACTTCATCACCTTCTTCCTCGATTTCGTCGAAGGTTTGCTGAAGAACTGTCTCCGTATCTTCCTCTTCATCACTGTCTTGCAGATCAACATCCGAATTGTCACAGGTACTTACCTACTATTGCAATTCGCGCAGATAACGGAGCACTTTAGTCCATCCTTTCTTACATTTGCAAGAAATTAATTTTAGTAAGTTTGCAGGAGCTGGGGGTTCGAGTGTGGTGACAGGAATTAGCCCATTCTTGCTTTTTTTCCATCCCCACCGCTCTGCATTTTTCCAACTCCATACCACTGCTGAACCTTGTGATAGGTTCGGAACGAATGTTGTGCTGCAGCTTTTGTCGGTGGCAGCGATGCAATATTAAATTTATTTAAAGAATTGATTAAAGAACCACCGAGATTTAAACGAGCTCGTCCGGGTATTTAAAAACCCAAATGCTGACCCGTAAAGCATTGCTGAAGCTGGAGAACGCTTCCTCTTTGCGTCGTACGGATACAGTATCGTAAAAAGTATGTCGTTAAACACCTACAAATATACATGCTTCACAAAGTCAGCATTTAAAAATAAATTTAACATTGCATAGCTGTCACCGACAAAAGCAGCAGCACGACAACATGCGTTCCGATCACCAGGTTCAGCAGTGCTATGGAGTTGGAAAAAATGCAGAGCCGTTGGGATGGAAAAAAGCAAGAATGGGCTAATTTCTCTCACCATACTCGAGCCCCCAACTCCAGCAAACTTGCTAAAACTAATTTCTTGCAAATGTAAAAACGGATGAGGGGGAATCTGTGGATGCAGAAAGGCTGGACTAAAGTGCTCCGTTATCTGCGCGAATTGCAATGATAGGTACCTGCGATAATTCGGATGTTGATCTGCAAGACAGTGTTGAAGAGGAAGATACGAGACAATTCTTCAGCAAACCTTCGACGAAATCGAAGAAGAAGGTGATGAAGTCGGAGAAGAGAACCCTATCGCGGATAACTTGGAAAAACTTCCTATCCGTGAGGTTTTGCTCAGTTCTGAAGACGAATTCGCAAAATCTGGTCCATCAGGGATAGCGAAGCGAAGGAGAATGCACTAAATTTAGTCAACAGTGCTTCACATGTAGATTAGGACTACTGGGGATATCACTAGAAAAAAAAAACGCGCCAGGAACTCTTACCTCATGGTGGTGTGGAAATGAGTTGGTTGGCCAATACGCGCGTTGGAGTAGACTTTGCGGAGCTCGTACGCCGAAACTATACATTTCACAGAAAAAAGGTTGACACATAAATTATAGGAAATATTCTCTAGTTTAATTTATTACATAACTATTTTCACCGTAAAGTGAATCGGAAAGGAGATATCGTCAAAAAACTGTTTTGCAGCGCCATTTTTCCAATATGGCGGCTACTTCCGAAAAAAAAAGAGGTGGCAAAGTAAAAATTAGGAAAGAGCACGTCAAAATCTATAAACATACCAATTTTCAAAACTTCACAGGCAACCCCCTTTTTGAGCGCCAACTGATTGGACTATATAGGGGGCGCAAAAAAAATTCCAAACAGGATGATATTTTCAGGGTTGCTTGGTGACTGCCTCCTGAGTACCCAACCAAGAGATTACATTTGAACTCCTGGTAGGTACGAATTGCGCTATGGGGGTGGTTTCCTTAACATTTTTTAGAGAAAAGTGACCTTCATAAAACTTGTAGAGGATCAAATTCTGAACAACTTTTTCATATAATTTTTTTTTGTATGTCTAATACTTAACGAGTTACTGTGCATTATGTGGCAAAAATTGAGCACGCCGCCCCACAGGGGTCGTCGTGTAAACATGGTTTTACAAAATAATAACCTTCATAAAAGTTGTAGAGGATCAAATTCTGAATAATTATTCCATATAATTGTTTTTTGTAAAAACATGTTTACAAGACCAACCTTGTGGCGTGCCCATTTTTGTCACATAATGCGCAGTAACTCGTTAAGTATTACACATAAAAAAAATATATGGAAAAGTTGTTCAGAATTTGATCCTCTACAACATTTATCAAGGTCATTTTGTTCTAAGAAAATGTTTAGGAAACCATCCCCACAGCGCAATTCATACCAGGAGTTCGAATGTGATCTTTCGGTTGGATACTCAGGAGGCAGTCCCCAAGCAACCCTGAAAAAATCATCCTGTTCGTATTTTTTTTATATAAAATGCCATCTTTACTGGATTAACAAAAAAGACTCACTTTGTCAATTGAAAATTTTACGAAAATGTAGACTTTTGATGACAGTTTTCCAAAAAAGACAATTTGAAGGCGTACCTATGCTGCTAAGACAATTGAATACTATATTACTGAGAAACGGCTGGAGTTTTTCAAATGCAACACACTGTATATTTTTACATATTTAGATAGAGAGTTTTCTTACAATTACAGCGATGTAATGAGTGTATCATAAGAAGGGTAATACGAGTATGTGTTAGATAGATTCGGTTGTCTAATAACGGATAACAATATTTTTCTGGCCCGTCTTTTATTTAGCCTTGTATGTATTGCTAGTGCCATTAGAAAGTAATGAATGCGTGTTCTGTTGCTGTTCATTACCTGAACTGTCTATATCTTGTTCAGCTATAAACAAGAGTTCATTGATTACATTCCCAAATTCCACCACTTGCTTCCGTAGCACCGTTCCGTAGGCGATTAGAGGGAAGAGATTGAAAAGTAGATCTTGGCGGCGAGATGCGTTTGAAATCCTCCATATGGGGAAACTCATCTGCATGGCCTTATCGATTTCGCCTCTAATAATCCTTAAACAGGTATATGGGTTTTTAAAAAAATATGGGCTATCAGTTGTGGAAAGATTCCTGGCTCGTAAATAAGACATATATATCCTATTAAAATAGATCCAGCTTATTTTCGTTTCTAAACCCAAATTTCATTCAAATTGGTGGTCGTGCAGTGTAAACAATACGCAATACGATTGTAATGAAGGGTAAAAATCAGATAATTTTGTTCGATGTAACTTCGAGGTTCAAAACTTTTATTGGAAAGTTTTACGTTATAAATTTAAATAAATGTAACATTTGTTAATCTTGCATTATTTTCCTGTTAGATATTCAACTAAGAAGAGATACACACATCGAACGGAAATAGTTTTCTAACTGAAGCAAGAAACAATTTTAAACCGACGTGATAAAGCCGAACTCTTCTACTTCCATCGACTCTAATAATTCACATGTCTATAAATAGATTTAAACAACGCAACTGATTTTTCAAATCAAATGATCTGCCTATCTGCCTTTTGAAATGTTGAAATTCGCTCGAAAAGTCGAAAAACATTCACTTGAACCGCTTTAATTAAATAATTAAGATAATTCCTAATTTCATCTTCATTGATTATATCATAGTTACGCTCATGTCTTTGCTTTAAGATAGTTATACTTAACCAAAGCTTAATGGCGCCGCACAGTTAACTGATTCTAAGATTTATACCTTACTTTTATTGTATTCACTAAATATTGTTCATATTTTGTGGGAAATATTTCTGATTGTATAGTAGGATCGTATTCGATGCAAAGTAGAGCAAAAAGTTGTTGGTCTTTTATCAAGGGAAAATCGTGTCATCATTTTTAGGAGGAGTAAGATGAACCATTTCAAATTTAAAATGAAATTGAATGTTAAATCTGAAATACCGCTGCATACGCACTGTGTTCTGGTATTAGCTGTAGTAGCCCAGGTGCATCGAGTGTACGAAGTAGTCGGTTATACGTCAAATACTAACCTGGCGAACTTGGTCGTAAATCAGAGAGCGTCTCCAAAAAACAAGTAAACAACAGTGGCGCGTACAGAGGTAAAATGTAGTACATATGTGGAATTTAGGAAACAAATTGGATTTATAATAAATTACATTTAAAATAAATAGTTTATGAGAATAAAGGAATTTTTGTAGGAACAAGGGTGCCAGACNTGACTGCACTGAAATGTTGGCAAAAATAATTTGTTATACAGTGTGTTCACTTCGAATTAATATAGAGTCATAGCTTTCTTCGCTTCACACTCAAAAAAATATTTGTTTCTGAGAAAAAGAAATTACCAGAGCATTCGGTCACTGAAAATATAACATTGATATCGGAATTTAATTATCTTCAACTGTTTTTGAGAAAAAAGTGTTTCCCAAGAACTATTGATCACCCTGTACAGCTCGTTCTCGGACCTTGCTTAGTGATCAGTCATGCACAAGGTTGTTTCAAACTATCTCCTTGTGGTTTTCATCATTTCTGTATTTATTAAAAAATAAACTTATATCTATGACTTGTATAAAGATTCACTGAAAACTATCCTAATTAAACTTAAAAATATACTAAGGATCGGAAAGCTGTTCACTATATTCTTTATACAGTCTTTGCCAGGGTAATTTGGTTTTGATAATTGCTAATACTTCGTTTAGGAGCGTCCTATTGGTTCCTTCCTGCAAAAATAAGATTTTCCAAAAAATATTCTCGTACATAGCATACACCAAAAAGGTGATCACATAAAATGGAGAACTAACAATGAAACTCTTACCAATCTAGTATCCATTTTCTGTTTCTTCGATGACGTGTGATTCGGACCCATAAGATCATCCAACACGAGCCGTAACCTACATTCAGGACCTGAAATAATAATAAGAAATACCGAAAGTTTTGGAAGAATTACTTCACGACGCTACCTTTATCAAGCAAATGGTTGACCGTGGCAATCAACCAATGCCTGTACTCAGCGGCTGACTGTAGCACACTCGTTGCGGTAATCTGTGATTCGAGAAAACTTAATGTCACTCCTGGTGGTAATGTATCCATGCACCTCTGTACCGGCATGTGTCGCTGCAGTGACGCCAACGGTAAATTAGCCGGAACGCGTCTTATTAAGTTTCCTCCCGTTCCGCTGACAGGATCTAGAGGGTTAGACAACTGAACCCTAGACGAAAACGACTATAATGTAGCGATGAAAAATGAAGGTTCTGACTTTAATATTAAAAAAATTTGTGTTTTTTTTTACTTCTAAGTTATAATTAGTACAAAGTAGAATAGCAGTTTTGTATTTTTTTTTTTAGAAAATGTGATTGATTTTGGATATAATTTAATTTTGAGTGCTATATTTTGCTAATTTTTGGAATTCTAAAGATAGTTTTTTAATGAAGCTTTCAATGAAAACATAATAGTTATGTAGATTGGTAAAATGTAAAACCCACTGTATATTAACGAATGTAAAAATAAATATCTGAAAAATTACCATGTCTGCAGATTCATACAATAAGAATAAGCTCGTCCATCTGATAAAGTTAGAACTGGTTGATTGGTTGAACTTAAACTACAGCCATTCACAGAACCTAAAAATCATAAATACAAAGGAGTTCGATATTAGAGAAATTCGAGCCACACGTCAAAACTAATCAAATAGTACTGATTTTTTCTTTCCGAAATTTCCTGTACTATAAAGTTCCGGTGAGGCAATTGGAATTTATGCGTAGAATTTTTTCAAAATGGCCGAGTAATCTCTAGCCTCAAGCTCGATCATAAGAAATTTGACATATTCGGTATCTAAAAATGAAAAAAAAAAAAAAGGAAAATTATGTACTAGAGGCTGCCAAACAAAAAAAAAATCATACCCATTAAACATATTCCTGAATCAGACCCAAAACATAACCTCAAATTTATAAATCATAAATCATATATTGTAGAACGTCTTTTTGAAGCAATCAAATCCTTTGTTGAAGAAAATATATTGTTTCTGTGGGTTTTCAACTCAATTATTTTGGATTTGAGGTTAGGTTTTCAGGTTGCACACTCAAAAGTACCATTTTTATGGATTTATACTCACAGGTTTAGAAAAAATTGAGTATGTTCGTTTTAGGTTACGATTTATAAATTTGAGGTTATGTTTTGGGTCTAGATTCATGATTTAGGAATATGTTTAATGTTTATGATTTTTTTTTGTTTGGCAGCCTTTAGTACATCATTTTCCTTTTTTTGTTCATTTTTAGATACCGAATATGTCAAACTTCGTATGATCGAGTTTGAGACTAGAGATTACTCGACCATTATGAAAAAATTGTAAGCATATACTCCAATTACCTCACCGGAACTTTGTAGTACAGGTAATTTCGGAAAGAATAAAAAAAAATCAGTACTATTTGATTAGTTAATATTTCCCACTGTGCGGCGCCCCTCCTAGTAATTTTCATTGTTAAAAAATAAAAAAAAAATTGTAATGTGCAATCAATTCAACTCGATTTGCAAAACTGAGTCTGTGGGTTGTGCGTAGCTCGTTCCTACATCTGTAAAGTGTTTACAATGGTGGTCATGGTTATCGTCGCGAAGTAGTGAAATACATTGCAATGTAACTTTCTTTAGTGTCTTAAAGAAACTCCATCGTAAATATATCTCTTTACTGACAAAATGTGTGTTAGAACTGCATCTATCGGAAACACAGAATCAAATGTAATTTGAGCATTTTTCTTTTTAGGGAATTTAAATATTAAAAAAATTTGGGGAAAACAATATCGAAGGATATCTATAAATATTATTTTGCAAGAAATACAAAGAACTTTTGACTAATAGAGAATAGGTGCACAATTTTTTTGGGTAGTGTCAGTACATGTCAATACAATGTGTCATTAATCTCAAATTGAAATGAAACATAAATAAAAGAGTAAACATGATATTTACCGATCTAATTTTATATCCAGTACAACAATAGCAGACAGTAAAAAATTGATGTAAAAACAATATATTTAATGTAAGACAACCACTTACCTTTCCCCGTCAACAAACTTCGCACTGAGATGCGGGTTAATAAACTTTTCGAGTTCTGTAGATCCCACATATGTAATAATCCGGTTTTGGTTAATACCAAACAGTAACTATTCTGGGAAAGACTAAGAGAAGAGACAACGTCTTCGATTAATAAAGGTGGCAGTGATCTAGCACCAGATTTGAGATCGTAACAATTTATCGTTAAGTCTTCGCAACAAGCTACTATTGTCTTTCTATTGCAAGCCATACATCTTATGGATGAGCCTGAAACCCAGCAGAAAAAATCAATAATACTTTAACAGTTACTGATTCTGTTAATGGTTCCTCAAAATTGAAACCTACCGGAATGCGTGCTGGTTATATGTCTAGTAAGTGATTCTGAGAGAGTCTCTTTTTGAACGTATTGCCTCTCTCTATCAATACACTCAAAAGGAACAATGTTAACTTTAATATCTCAGAAATTAATAATTTTAGCTATAGAATATATATAATAAATATAAATAAAATACAGGGTGATTCATTTAAAAAAAAAATAGAAAATGATATGCTGGGGTTTTGGCTCGCCCTATATTCAACTGATTCAATAATAAAGAAAAGCATTTTCTTGTAAAACTGTACCAATATCAAAAGCTTATACCTGCAAAAAATTATTGTTAAGTTGTTCTGTTTAGGGTATACAGGACGCTGAAATGGGAATGGATTCTCGTATACGATTGACCATAACTTTTGAAATACCCTGATAACATAATTAAACCCTTTATTGGAAACATGGGAGAGATGAGCTTAATTTAAATTTGAAATAATATATAACACTCTGTATATACGAAAATAATTTAAAATGTGTAGTTTTAAGTTAGCTACTATTTTTGTAAATAACTTTTTTTGATATCTTCCCTGTATATACAATTTTTTGCTTTATTTTCTGCAATAAGGGTGTTTTTTAAGGGTTGAAACGTTGCAATAAATCATGTATTATTTCATAAACAGAAAAAATATTCAATTCTTCATTATTGCTCCGTCAAAGCGTTTTAGAGCCGCGAAAACTAATTTTTGTTTTTTTTCCTCATAAAGGGTGGATTTTAAGGGTTGAAATGTTGCTACAAATCAAAAATTATTATTCAAAACATAAAATAATGCTTATTCTATTGACATAACACTTAAATCTATGGTTTTTACATTTTTTGCAAGAAGGGGTAGTTTTCACCCCCTAAAAACAATAAGCACACATTATGGATATCTAACTTTTGTAAAAGAGGGTGAAATGAGCTTACTCACCAATTTTAATGAAAATCGGTGGGTGTGTTAAGAATTCAGAGAGAATACCTTTTGACTCTGCTATAAGAGCTGCCGTCCGACATCTTGTAATGTTCGCGTTAAAATATGTGTTAAATATATTTAACACAGATCAGTAGTTGATACTGAATAAATGAGTAACATGTATACCTCGTACAACCAATCTGGAAGTAAAGCAATGAAACGGCTTTGAGCTCCTCAATTTCGACTATAGTTTTCTTTCTGTGGCACGTCCTAAGAGCGAATACCTCTAACGCGACGCTTAGGCGATGCTGCTTGGTAACTGAACAGATATGAATCATGGATGCATATGACAAACATAATATTTCAAAATCGGATTCTGTTTCCAGGGCCTTCGATAAGCTCCAAACAGCGGCCAGCTCAGCCTCTTTCCATTTACCTTTGTTCTGAAATAAAACGTATTAAATGCAAAGGTATAGTAGAATATACGAGATAACTAAATACGTGAACAAATTGATCCTCTTTTCAGATAAACACTGCCGGTCAGCACACTGACTGTCAGCGACGATGTACAGTCCGTACAATATTCCGTCACTTTATTGGAATTAACGGCATGTGACACCCGAGGTGGAAAGACATTGGTCGAAAATTTCAAGGCACGCCCCTGCCGCGGTAAATTGTTACAGTAGTTCCGAAAACAGAACTTTATTGGCTTATCTCTTTCTTGAACTTCTATCAACAAATATTGTACAGACTGTTGATCAGGCTCTGACCCCACTCGCCACTGACAAGGGAACTTTAATGTTTGAAGATGATGTTTATTACTTCCCGCATCCTTCTAATGTGTACCGAAAGGGTTTTTATTTCAGTTCTTAAATACAATCATATCAAAAAAACTGCTCCAAAATTAAGATTTTAATACCCTCCATTTAAACGAAGCATTTTTGGACTAAAGTAAATTGACATAAATCCAATGATTTTAGGTCAGGTATTTGCAATAGCTGTGAGTTCAATGTTTTNGACTCTATGAAAATTAACGAAACTTGTCTTTAAATTTATACACTAAAACTAACTACTCAAAACTACTCAGAATTCAATGCGAACACAAACTAATTCAACACAAGATTAAATGACAGCAATGCAATGACAGCGCCTGCCTCCCGCCTCTTGACAGTCTTAACACTCATATACCGGATCCTGACGTCACAAATTGCTTGACCAGTTAGGGACCGTTTTCGCCCACCTAATTATATTCAATATTTTAATAATTAATTACATATTAATAGTTAAGTTTAAAAGGGTTTTACATATAGAAACATACTTTTATAGTAATTTACTGCACTTTAAATAAATTTTGCTTCAAAAGAAAACTTGATGCAACTTCCTCATTGTTTTCTGTTTAAACATAACCTCAACTTCACAGTTAGATGTACTGTTTTCAAATACGGAACAATAACTGACCCCCTTCGCTTCGTCACCGTTGACCAGCACTTTCTCTCCGCATGTACTGTAGGTTGCCAACAATTCATATATTTGTAATACATGAATATTACAGTGGCGTACACAATAATTAAACTGCATTTTAAAAAACTAATTATAACTCGACTATTTATTTGATAAAAAAATAATAATTCAGATTCGTATTCAGCGGAACACCTAAAAAACTTAGTCCCACTTAAAGTTACACCATGTATATGTAAATATTAATAGAACTTGCTAAAACACAGGGTGTTTACAAACCTGGAAACGTTCTGTAAATGGTAAGTAGCAAATAATACATAAGATAACACTAAAAAATATATAAAAATTTATTGGTGATCTCTGCACATGACTTAGGTATACTACCTAGTCCTTAGTTCACAATTAAGAAAGTTTTAGCGTGTCATTAAAATTATTAAAAACTCCATAAACTTAAAGATCAGGTAATTTAAAAAAAAAGGTGGAACGCGACACCATTACTTCGCAGATTTGGGTAATTAAGGCAGATGGTTACCTTTTCTCTAAGTACCTAAACAATAAATTTAATTTTCTTAAGCACAATAGATACAAATGAATGTTCTATCGAAATCAGAACAATAGTCCAGACGGTATCTGTTTCAAAAAGTCCATAATTGGGTGAATCGTATATCCACGGAGATTTTTGGCTTTTTGGCTTTCAAATATCACTAGAAATGAAAATTTTTCTATGCGTATAAAAAAAAATGTGGGCTTAACTTTTGGCGGCACAATATGTTAAAAAAAATCGAAAAATGTCATATTTTTCTTCCTATTTAATTATGTATCTTTTCAAGAGTTGATTTTAGGCGAAAATGGAAGAGGAAAAAAATGTTTGTAATTAAATTTTTTACAAAACATGACTAGTTACAAATCGAATGAATCATGATTATTATGGTAAAAATCGAAAAAATCGCAAAAATGGGGTTAAAAACAATACTTTTTAGGGATTTTTTTTGGGGTATTTAAATTGGGTATAGGACCTTTATACTTGGCTCAAGAAAACTTCATGTTATGTAGAATTATCACACCAAATTTCATCAAAATCGGTTCCATAGATTTTGCATAATAATTTTGCAATCCAGATTTTGAAAGAAAATTTGCAAATTTTCAAAATTTTGCACAGCAAAAACCAAGGCCCTTAGATACTTGAAAATTTAATCACATATAGAAGGGCTCTCAAGCTTTCAATTTTTTTTTGAAAAATTCGGATCCGTCAATTAGGAGAGCTCTGGTGCTTGTTTAAACATTGGTCGAATTTTTTGTACTTATAAACAATTAGAATAACTTTGTGAATATTCAATCAAATCAAATTTTTTAAAGCAGGTTTTAAAAGTTCTTAGAAAGACGCTTCTTTAAAAAAAAAAAAACAGATCGCTTGATCAATTAGTTTAGTTATAGCCGATTCAATTTCGAGCAGGCCGAAGCGGGCGCGCTCTCTGCTGCCCCCACCACCACCCGTACGATTTTATTGAATTTCTCGCTTGCATAAATAATTTTAAACACGTTTTAAAAGTAAGTTGCCAATGAAGAAAAGTATTGTAATCTTAGACCTGGTAAGTACTCGGAATACCAAAGGTGTTTTTCGACAAATTAGCCCAGATGTCCCAGTACATTTAGTGTAAATGACAATTAACTTTACGGCTATAACTACGTAACTAATTGATCAATCGATCTGTTTTTTTTAAAAGAAGCGTCTTTCCAAGAACTTTTAAAACCTGCTTTTAAAAAATTTGATTTGATTGAATATTCACAAAGTTATTCTAATTGTTTATAAGTACAAAAATTCGACCAATGTTTAAACAGGCGGCGGAGCTCTTCTAATTGACGGATTCGAATTTTTCAAAAAGCGTTTGAAAGCTTGAGAGTCCTTCTATATGTGATTAAATTTTCAAATATCTAAGGGCCTTGGTTGTTGCTGTGCAAAAGTTTGAAAATTTGCAAATTTTTTTTCAAAATCTGGATTGCAAAATTATTATGCAAAAATTTATCGAACCGATTTTGATGAAATTTGGTGTGATAATTCTACATAACATGAAGTTTTCTTGAGCCAAGTATGAAAGTCCTATATCCAATTTAAAGACCCCAAAAAAAATCCCTAAAAAGTAATGTTTTTAACCCCATTTTTGGCGATTTTTTAGATTTTTTAAATGTCCCCAAAAGAAGTAATCTAGGGGTTTATGTCAGGAGAGAGTGCTGGCCATTCAGTAGCACCCCTTCTCCCAAACCACCTATTCGGAAACATTTGATCCAGGAATTGTTGAACTCCAATAGTAAAATGAGGTCCTGCTGGAACGATATTCTGTCAAAATTAATGTCTAAGTTTTGTTAAGCAGGTACAATTTGATGACGTAACATTTGTTCGTACTTTTGTCCATTTAAGTTACCATTAATTACAAACGGACCAATAATAGTAGTACCAATAATACTAGCCCACGTATTTATATTTTAAAGTCTCTGGGTGTGTTCTTCTCTCATCCAGTGAGGATTTTGATGACTTCAGTACCTCAA